GGACGTACATCTTTCGTACTTGGCGGGATGTCTCACATACGTATGAGTGCACCAGATTCCCTGCGTAGTGACGTTTTTGCATTTCAAAGTGCTGGCGCCTGCCCCTTCTCGTCTCTCAGCTGGTGGTGTGTGAGTTCCCGCCCCTCGTGGCACTGCAAAACAGTTTGGTCTGAAGACAGCTTCGGTTTCCCGTGTGCTCAGCCGATGCACATGTCAGCATCATTCCAAGATTGTTTGTGTGAGGGCTGGGAGCCTTTTGAGCGCGGCAGTCGCAGCAGTCATAAGCAAGCCTTTGTGCCTTGGGACCAGTTGCCAGGCCCCGCAGTGGTTGTCTGTTCTCGTACAAGTCGCAGCCGAGGCCTGATCGCACAAGAGTTGGAAGCTGTGCTCGGTTTTTCTGCGTCGCACACAGCTGCTCTTCTGCAGTCAGATATTAAGCCAAGCACCGATAGGAAAGGCGTAGAAGCCAGAAGAATCCGCGCCCTGTTGCATGCAGTACCGGCGTGCATTGCAAAGCTCGTTTTGCAACCTTTTTGCGATAGTTATGGCCTTGATGCGTCACCATCACCACATTTGCCGTGTTCAGTCTCGGATGCGGTTCACCCGTGCCGAGAAGTCTTGGAAGACCTCCGTGTCGCCTGCCCGTACTTGCAAGACAGATTGTTGAGGAACATGCCTGCTCAAGAGTTTGTAGGGCCAGACTGGGCGGACATGCACGCACACCAGGCTGCTAGGTTGGCCAGTTGTGTTCAGCATAAAGATGATGGCTTTGCGGTGTCTCAACGCAGGCTCCTACCTTACGGCTTGCCTCCGGAATTGCATGCGTTGCTAGCTGAAGCCGTGTCATCACCGTTTGAAGGTGAGGTTTCCTTAGGTGACGATCTAGATTTTGCCATACGGACGGTTGTCGCAGAAGGAACAAACATTCGAGCTTGGCGCCAAAGACAGTGGCGCCTCTTGTGCCAGCACCTCCGCAAAGTGCAGCCGCTGACGGAGGTGCTGGAGGCTCGACGGTCTCCGTCTTCTCACCGAGTCAGTCCTCACTTGTCGCCGGGTTACTTGGAAGCGCTGAGGTACAGCGTCAGATGGCCCGACAGTCAGGTCGCAACCGCACTGTGCGAAGGCGCAGAAATCGTTGGTGAGTTGCCGACATTTGGCATTTATCGTAAGACTGAGCACACTAGTCCGTCCATGTCTTGCTTCAGCCAAGATGACAATGAGCGGTGGCTGCAAGAGGTTCTGCAACGCAAGCCCCCTCCACCAGAAGAAGCTCAAGTCGTGTGGAATAAATCTGAAACTGAGCGCCAACTCGGCATCTTGGAAGGGTGGATGCAGCCAGAAGATTTGCACAGGCGTTTTGGCCAGTACCAGTGGCGTCCCATGGTTCGTTTCGCTGTGTGGCAGCCGAACCATGGGGCATACCGTTGCATAGACAATGCGAAATCAAGCGAACACAATCTGTGCACCAGTGCTGAAGAGCGCATTCACACAACATCTGTGGATATGGGAATTGCCATTTGTCAGCGGTTTAGGAAATTGCTGCAAGCACCGTTGAAAGAGTCTTGCGCACTGCAGTCTGCAACCAAGGACATGAAGCGGGCTTATCGACAAGTCCCTGTGGCCTCGAAGCACCTCTGCTTCTCAATCATCGCGATCTGGCATCCCAAGCAGCATAAGTGGGTTTTCGGAATTTTGCACGGCCTTGCATTCGGCCTTTTGGCTGCAGTAGTGCAGTTCAACAGGTTCCCGGCCTTGCTAGTGGCGTTAGCTCGCAGATGGCTGGCGATTCCTGCCATCAATTTCTTCGATGATTTCAAAATCACAGAACCAGCATTTGCCAAGGCTTCAGGAGGCTTGTACTTTGACAAGTTAGTGTCGTTGCTGGGTTGGCTGTTTGATTCTGAAAAGGACAGACCGTTCTCTCCCGTAGCAAGATTCTTGGGCGGCTTAGAAACATACAGGCCCGATGCAGTTGCTTTACAGCCGCTGCCCGAGCGGGAGCATGCAATCCGGAGCCAGCTGCTTCAGGCGATGCAGAGTCAGAAGCTCAGTCCCTCAGACGCTCGTGCATTGAGTGGTAAGCTGACCCATCTCGCAGGCTTCTTTCTAGGTCGCATTGGCAGGGGACAAACGCACGCCTTGATCAGTCAGGGACAAGGCACATCATCGCATGTTTCGTTCCACTTGAACCAAAGCCTGCAGTTCTACTTGTGGTTGTTGCAAGCAAGGCCATACAGAGTTGTGCCCTTGTCAACCAGCCACATGCGCAGACGCATCATTTACACGGATGCATCTTGTGAGACATGTCCGCCGCTTGTGAGGCCAGTTGTTCAAGTTTCTTGGCTCATTTTGGACACTGCCAGCTCAGTTGCTGCAGGAGGGTTCACCGTTGTGCCTGACCAGGTGCTTCAATCCTTTCAGGAAAGGAGCACGTACATTGCACAAGGTGAGGCCTTCGGGCCTATGCTTGCAGTCCACTTCCATGCTGATGTCGTAGCCTGCTCTCACAACATCATGTTCATAGACAACCTTGGTGTTCTATCTGCCCTGATTTCGGGTAGAGCGCGCATCGCTGATTTTGGCTTCGTCATTCACGCCTTCCATTTGAGCATTGCGCACCTGCGCTCCACATGCTGGTTCGAGCATGTTGAGTCGCCGGCAAACCCTGCCGATGGTGGCTCGAGAGTCGGCGCGGCCTGCCCAATAGCCAAGCAGTTGGGCATTGTGCTCCATCAATACCAGTTTCCAAGCTGGCCGAAAGATGTTCTGCGCGCCAGCCCGACAGAGTGGCTTCACCATCTGCGGTGCCACTAAAGACATCCTCATCAGACTCTCTGCGAACTATTACATTCAGGCATCTCGAGAGCTCGATTTGCTCCGTTCGCGCATGAGGGTAACCATCACGGTTCCTACAGGGAGCTGCAGCGGTACAGTTGCATACTGTGTGCTCTGAAGCTGTGTCACTGCTGTGAAGTCTCCTGCACCATCTGCTCAAAACAAGGGAGGCGCGTGCTGATTCTGCTTTGTGCTGTCATGTTTAACACAAGCCATCAAGTTGAGCAATAATTTTCTGGACCTTCGTTGCTCAAGTATGTTGCATCGGTACCATCTTGTGAGATCACAATCGGGGCCTGAAGTACAATGCACGTGGTTTAAGAAATTAGCAAAAAATCCGGCTCCAAGACTTGAGTAGTCTTGATGCAGGTCAGTGCATGCAGGAACAAAAATTAAAACTAATGCTTCGATTGTATCTGCAGCCTATACGAATGAATAGCCCAGAGAGTACTTGATCTTACGGAGTTTGTCCGGGCGAAAGAAGGCTGCAGAATTTCGGCTCGAAGATTGTCCTGATCTGAGGTAAATCGGCGAAATCGAAGAGAAAGCTGGGGGCACATCGCCTGCCTGTAACAGTCGGATACTAGTATACTTGGTAGAAAACCGGGCAGAAAAAGCGCAGCTCCTTTCGGGCGAATAAATTTATCGAATGAGATGCCCCGTTTCGCGGCTCAGCCCGGTTTCAGTTTCGCAGTTCTCGTGTTTGCATGCAATTTCAGTTGTGCTTTTCTCGTGCTTCTTGCCGGGCTTTCCCACGTACTATAGCACGCACTACCACGAATTACCCCGTACTAACACGTACTATTACGTACTATTGCATACTGACACTCCAATTACTGCCACGCATTACCAGGTACTACCAGTTACGTATTACCACATAATACCACGTCCCATGCCACGTGCTACCATACCATGTACGCGCTCCGGAAGCTCCGATAAATTGGCAAAAGAGAGTGCGATGAGCCGTGCATGCCAGAGGGCGTTATGGGTGGGGGTCATGTATTTAGCCTAGATTGTGAAAACAAGTGTATGTATGTGTATATATATATATACATATCATGTCTCATATACACATACACATATATACACATACATTAGTTTGTTGACTGGCTTGTTCATGTCGACTGGTTTCCAATGAATGCTAAAGAAACAACCCGAACAGCTGGATTGTGCTTGTACTTTGAGGTCAATATTATGGTCAGTATTATGACATGTTCCAAGTGTATTGTTGCAGTTCAGCCCACGTGAGGTGGACAATTTCCATACATACATACATACATACATACATACATACATACATTCACACGTTTGATGTTTATGTGCTACTCGTCTCCTCCAACCCGATCGCATGTCCACCAAAGAAACCCCTTTGCAGTTCCGTTACTTCTTCGTCTGGTCCGTCTGCTGCCGCTTCTTGTTGCTCTTCTCCTTGTCCAATGATGATGAAAACCACGAAAATTACAAGGATGATGTTGCTCAAGATCATGAGAATGTGTTTATACTCGGGCGGTTGGGATTGAAATAAGTTCGTACAGGCAACAGTATCAGTAGAACGTGACATGTGCCGTGCGACTTCAACGTGTGCCTCACAACAGCAGTTCATAGCGGCTTCTGCTCGTGCAAGGCGCGCTGCGTCTCTTTGTGAAGCCTTTGCAAATCGGGCAGAGCAGCAAGGCACCGGCTTTGAAGATGGAGATGTGTTGCTACCGGTGTCCTTGGTTTATGCCGTCGAGTTCGCTTTGTGCAGGTGCTTTGCTGCCCTTCAACTCGGCTGTTGCCATTGCAATTGCAGGTGTTATCACGACTCTCAGCAGCACCTGGCACCTTCGTGTAGCATCTGGCTTTGGTTGTTTGTCAGGTTCCTGACGGAGCTGAACCCGATCACGGCAGCGGCATTGACTGTCTTCCAGGCTTTGGGCTCAGTGTCTGGACAAGTCTTTTCTGAAAATCAGCTCACGTTGCATGTGGAGCTGAGGCCATGAGCTGGGTGGTCGCATCACGAAAAGGAGTTGCGGCAAAATTCGAAAGCCGGGCAAGTTTGCAGGCTCTGGGGCACAGGATGGGACAGGTCGGAACAGAGGAAAGGAGGCGGTTGCTTTGTAGGGTTGGGTCCGTGAGATGGGGTCCCGACCACCATACACCTTGAGCAAGCTGCCGACAAGATCATATATGGAGCTCGAGAAGCTACTGCTTTGCAGGATCTGAAAGCTTCGCCAAAAGTTCGGAAGTGCATGGAACCGGGCGAATTTTTGTTACAGTCGCTCTGAAGGTGCGCTCTCGCTTCTCTTCTCGCGGCACTTCAGCAGCCACTGGCACCATCGGTCAGCGCTTCAAGAGCTTCATCATTGGCTGAATTTTTAGACAGGGAAACCTTAGTACTCTGCAGCACTGTCCAGGCAGAGCATGAAGATAAACCAACCAAAAGGCAAGTGGTTCCAAGTCACGGCCCTCGTGCGACTTGGCACCAGGCTTGTACGGAACAGCAGCTTGCCTGCCTCTCTCCGTGCCCGGAGCAGTGGCTTATCGTTTAATGTATACGGAGCCTTCCGAGCTGCTCTTAGGAGGTGTATTGCAGACACGGGACTTGCTTGTCGGAGCAGCGAAGAAGGATTGAGCTAGTCAATAATGTGCAGCAGATTGCAGCAGAATTAAGTGATTAATCTTCCCCTTCAAGCAGGCTGAGAAACCAGCAGCGACTCGGCCGCCCCTACCTGCTGCAGTTGTGTGTAGACATGAAGACGGCATAAGATGTCCAAATTGGGGCGCACGGGTCTTGACGGAGTCAGGGAGCTGCAGTCCGTGGAACTCATTTGCACAGTTCCATTGCAGCGATTCTGTCTCCATTCCGTGTGTGAGGGGCTCTGCCGGCACTGCATTTCTCCACAGCACTCATGGCAGCATGCTGAGTGCATGCCCGGGTCGCTCAGTGGGAGCAGTTTCCAGACCTCTGAACGGGCAAGATTTTTTTCAAATGAACGGTTCCTGCATAGCAAAGATGCAGATTCGAGACCCCGCTCAGTTTTTCGCTTCGAAAGACTCGAGTTGCGTTCATTCCTCGGAACATGTCTCTAACCACGCGCTGCTTCGCCCACATGCCGCACCGAAGCCGCACATGGGGTCAGGAGGAAGAGCTGCATTTATGGGATGTGCACGTGGTGTCGTGTAATTGTGAGAGGCTTGTGCCATTTTGAGCCTAGTCACACCTTTCCATGTCAATGTCTTCTCTCAGGGACGACGTGTTGGGCGGTATTAGAGTCATTCTCCGTGTTCACACAAAGAGCAGCGGTTTCTGCAGCCATGGCGTGAGTCTGATGACCGCCGGGCCCCAAAGATCCCCAAAGAGAAAACAACTGTCTTTGTCGTCTTTTCGTCCCTGTCCTCGTGTACTTGAGGCCGGGCAGCGTGTTGAGGAGGAAGCATCAGCGTCATTCAGCGTCTGTGCAGATGTAGGCTTCTGAGGAGTTTGGGCGTGTATGTTTGCGCATGTGGCAGGATTGCCTGCAATTTTTGACGCAGCAGCTGCGCCCCGGCAGTGACGGCCTTGTTGCTCTTGGTGCCAAGCAGGCGGGGGATCAGTCAGTCAGTCCAGTCGTCGGATCCGGCTCTGAGCTTCTGCAGAGATCTTACGACGAATGCTGCAGCTGCTTGGCGTACCGCATGCCAACTCTCAAACCCCGTGTGACTGCTGCTGGTGCAGGCTATTGCAGGCTGACAAGGCAGCATTGCATCAACTTCATTGGCATACCTTCTTAGCACCGTAGTCCTCCTGCAGTAGTGCTTGTCAACAGTCTCTTCTCTGCGCGCTTGCGCCATGGATGGATACAGCATGATGCAGCCCAGCTTTGAGCCCAATGCTTTTTCCTTACTTATTGGAGTCAGCTCACATCTGACCTGCGCAGTGCAGCACAGTAGAACTGACACGAATCATAAAAGGCATGGGCCATGCAGCGAACAGCGCTGGGACAGAGGCAGCGCAGGCATGTCTTTCTACAAAGATGGCATGATGGTGCATGCTAGGTAATTGGCTCAGCCTGTGCGTCGGTGTCGAACTGTGGGGTGCATTCTCGCTAGACCGCTCAAGCAACGCCGGAACTGAGCATCAAGGGTAGGCTCGTGCAATGATGCAGTATATGCGGAGGCTGACAAACATGGAGCATTTTGACACAAGGCTCCAAGCAAGTCAAGTTTCACGCAAGCAGTTCTCAGAAATTACGTTCGATGAGGCAACATCCAGCATAGCTCGTCGATGCTCTCGAAGCCCCATCAGCTGAGCACTGGTCTTGTTCCTGCGTGGCTGAATCTCAACTCCATTCTCCTTTGGTTTTGTGCCAGTGGGGTTCCCTGTCTTCACCAGCCAGGCTGCATGCGAGCAGCCGACGAAAGACGGAGCCTTGCGCTTGTCTTGCAGCTGTGCCAGAAGGCGGGGGATTGGCAATGGAGCGGGCCTTTCGAGGTGAACTCATGACCGGGCCGTTGTTTGCAGCTGCGTTTGCTTTCCAGGTGGCTGACTCTGAGCTGGCGACACTCGGCCGAGTCTTTTCATCAAGGCCACTTAGACTTCCTGAACGACCCCAAACCCGAAATGGTTGAGCGAAATACTTTATCCCTTGCCTTACAGCGGACCGACACAATGCACTGGACCCCTGGCCCTGGCCTGAACAAATGCTGCCGTTGAATCTTATCGCTTGGCTCAGCTGCTGCTAGATTCTAGATGAGACGCAATGGAGCAAACTTCACCAGGGCATGGCAGCGCTGAAGAGCGGCTACCGTTGCAATTTGTTGCCGTCTGCCGCCACGCCGAGCGTGCAGATGATATGGGTGCGCTTCTACATGGAATGCCATGGTGTTTAACTCAGGACTCGAAGCATTGGCCATATGACCCACCCCTGAGTGACACGGGCCTCGTCGAAGCCGAGGAACTTGGAGTGAGGCTACACAGGGTTCTTGGTGAGCTGGATGCAGATCTACATGTTGTCATTACATCACCTTATTTGCGCTGTGTTCAGACAGCGGCTTGTGTTTGCAAAAGCTTTGGAAAAAGCACGAAGCTACTCATTGACAACTCCCTCGGCGAAATTTATGGGCCTTGCATTATGGGAAACGAGCCAGAGAATCCGGTGCGGCCGCTTCAGCAGAGCACTGACTTCTGCCTGGCTCATGGGGTAGAGAGCCTGGAGGTTCGCAAAGTTCTCGGTCAGTGGCCAGCCTGGCCAGAGACCCTGAAGGGAGCCCGACAACGTTTTGCTGCGAGGTTTGTGGATTACGTGAAACGTGGCTATACGGCTCACCGAAACTTCTTGATAGTCTCACATGCTGATTGTGTGGGTGGTGCATTGACGCTGATACCTTGTGGCACATGTAGGCACAACGTAGAGAAAGTCAACTTTGCCGGACACTTCACACTGGTAAGTCCCAGATGTGAAAGCGAAACTTCCTCTGAAGCGGAAGCGGACCCGATGCAGCAACTGGACAAAGCTGCTGCAACCGCCGTGCGTCGCATGGCAGCACTGAACCCAGACAAGCACTGGAGCCCCGAACTGAGCACTCCGACGCCCCGGTTTCGGCCTGACTGCATGAGGACCTTGCAGGTGTGTCTTTTGGAGGGTCTGCTATCTTGAGTGGCTTCAGGAGCCGCGGTGCTGCTTTGGTCCGCCGAGAGGCCTTGCGGATCCTTGCGGATCCTTGCGGATCCTTGCGGCCTCACGGACCGCTGTTTCTGGATCCCGCCATATGGAACAGGAGGCCTTGCAAGCGGTACGGGCAAAGAAGGAGTGGTCAATCCTGCAAGGCCAGGCCCTGCAGCACCGAAATTCACTGCAAAGTCCTGCCCCGTGTCCAGGATATGACGAAGACCACCATGCTGACGTCAGCGATTTAGGCAACGACCTGGGCCTGGATCTTATGAGATGGGCGTGCTTTACGTTTTTGATGCCTCTGTTTAACTTCCTCCAGGCTCGGGCATCTCGCTCGGAGAGGGATGGTTTTTGCAGCACGGGCACCAAGGGCATGTTCGATCTTTCAGTTTTGTGGAGCATTGATCTGCAGACATTTCACACATGCTACAGCGCGCTACAATCGAAGTCGCCAAGGACGTCAGGTATCGTGCTGCGTGGCAAGGGAAAAAGCCTTGCTTCAAGAGGCTCCCTGATTGATGAGGAGGCACCAAGCGTGCCTGTCATAGCAGGTCTCCAACCACGCTCAGATCTGCGATCAGTTTGCAGGTTGTGAGAGACTGGGGCATTCCGCTGTTGCTTCCGTCGGCGGATGAGAGTCAAAGGCCAGGGATTTGGGAAGCATGTTGCACCGTACCTTCTTGCACTGCTTGAATTGCATTGCACCCGAAGCAACTTTCAGCGCACGCAAATGCAGCGCCATGCAGCCTGCATCCCCTGCCATCGCGAGTGCAGCTCCAGCCTCATTGGCTTGCCTGCGCGTCCGAAGGAGCTTTGCAGGTCACCCACTGACGGACAGGCAGAGCTTTGGCTCTCACAGTCCATGGCTTCTGAGCTCCGTCGTGGTTGCTTGCCGTGCTTACGCGTGGCTTAGATCGCCTGGATTGACGAAGAGGAGAGCGGGCAGGGTATGTTTCCCGGTTGACATGCTCCGTCCGTGCCCTGTGCGTTCTGCTTATGTGCATATACCATTTTGCCGCCAACGCTGTCACTATTGCGACTTCCCGATCGACGTTGTTCGCCAGACCATTGAGCGACCCAGAGTGAGCAGATATCTGTCTTGCTTGAGAACGGAAATCTTCAGCGGCGGTTCCGGAAGCTTGGAGGAGGCTTCCTTTAAGAGCCAGCCATTGCAAAGCTTGTACTTTGGCGGAGGCACGCCATCCCTCCTTCCAGCTGACAATCTCGAAGAGCTTCTTATGTTGTTGCGCGAGCGCTTTGGCTTTGATTCAGACTGTGAAATCACCTTCGAAATGGACCCAGGGACATTTTCCGAAGAGAAGGCCCGTCAATTGGCATCTTGCGGTGTTGTGCGGGCAAGCGTTGGGATCCAGAGTCTAAGTGACGAGATTTTAACCCGGTGTGGTCGCGGGCACACTGCAAAAGAAGCGAGAGAGGCGATTCAGCTCCTGCAGACATGTGGCTTTGAAAACATTTCCGCCGACATCTTGAGCGGGGTTCCTGGACAAACTGAGGCGCAGCTGAGATATGAGCTGCGTGAATTGAACGAGTTGGGGATCAATCACCTGTCAGTATATGATTTGCAGTATGAGCAGGGCACGGATTTTGCCCGGCGGTTTCCGGATCCGGGCACCTCCGGTAGGCCGACAGAAGAAGTTGCAGCCCAACTCTATGAAATTGCTCACGACGAGTTGGAGACGCTGGGCTTTGAACACTATGAGATATCCAACTATGCACGCTTAACAGGGCAGGGTCCGAGCCGTAACAGATCACGGCACAATCAAACATATTGGCAGCGCAAGCCGTACGCAGCATTCGGAAATGGTGCTGCATCTTTTGTTGCGGGATTGCGCGCAACTCGTCCGAGGGCATTGAAAGAGTACTGTGCTTGGATCGAAAGAGGGGCGCCCGCATCTATGTTGGAAATGGATACATCCCAACGCGATGACTTGCGGGATGCCATGTTCGAAGCGGTTATGCTTGGCCTACGCACTTTGGAGGGCATAGATATGGAGGCGGAGGGCCCTGAGGCAACTCAGTATCTTCTCGCTATGGCTCGAGCCTTGAAGCCATGGGAGGAGTCCGGCGATCTACGCATGGACTGCTCTTGCTTATCTGGCAACAGCCAGTGCAGCCTCACTGCAGCTCTGCTTCCGCCCAAGGGTTTTCTGGTGTCAGATGCCGTCCTCTCAGATGCGTTGGCGGCAGTTCTGACTGTGGAAGACCCGGAGTGCGCTAAACAAGACAGTCTGGCTCTTGATTGATTGCAGTATTCGTCCCCGACATATCTGCGGCATCATGAAGATCGAAGTTTTATCGGGTTTACATCTGCTTGCTCCTTAATCCCTCTCCCCTTTATAAGTCACGCCCGTAACAATAAAACACATATTATTGAAACTCCACGTGAAATTATCACCGCCTTTACAACCAATCTTTAACCAGGAGGAGCGGATGGCTCATGGTTTATTATTAAAAAGACCCTCCAACCACCAAATCTTTCCTCGTGTCAATTCGCAGCACTGGCCCTGGACGGACTGCCTCCGCAGTCTGTAAGCCTGGCTCTGCATAGCCTACCTCACCTCATACCAGAGTCAGAGGGTCTGAGCCTTCGATTGGGAATGACTACCAAGCTTCGCAAACGTAGGACTCGTTCTCTCTCGGGGCTGTTTCTCTTAATTAAAGACTCAACAGCGGAGGTAAAACCATGAATACTTTCCCGAATCATGACAGTAGTGAACCCTCCCGCCCTCCGCCGATATTAAAAGCACTTTTTGAGTTTCTGTTGGCGGGGTTGCGATGGTGCAGGTGGCAGCAGCTATTGGAGTCACTGCCGCAGGCTCGACAATCCTGCCTTTCACTGTTTGTGCTAGGCGTTATGAAGAGCTGATCATAGCTGATCGTGATTTCGTGCCACAGGCTCCTCTTGCCAAAGAGGAGGGTCGCCGATCCAGCGGGAGGTTCTCGGTGAGCAGCTGAGCTGGCCATCGTATCATTATGGCAATCTGACCGCTTTGTGGATGCGTGTGGCTATGAGGTTTGCTCCTTGGAGTTGTTCACAGGCGCCCTAGCAGCCTGCTCTGTTTCAGATCTTCCGACCTCTTCATGTTGGTGACAGGAACTTCCACGAGCAATTCCTGGACGAAGGGCCCCAGGTGTCAACACTTGTCCTGCCTGTGCTCTTTGAAGGTCACTTCGTCTAGGTCGTGTTGGGTCATGTTGGATCATTGCATTCACATCACACCCTCACCCATCATACATCTTCAACCGGGTGTGGATGCAATGTGGCAGAGCAGGGCGAGCTCGCTTAACGAGGAGCTGTGCCGGTCTCAGGGTCTGACAACTGGATTCGAGTTTTCGCCGATCCTTGCAAGTGGCTCCAGGGAAAGCACCAGCATTTGGACTGGCCCGACGCTTCTTGGCCAAAAGCAGTAGCGTGGGCTGAACCCATTCGGCAGGCGCATGCTGAGATCAAGCGAGCATTTCATGTTCAACCACAGTTGATGCATGCTGCCCAAGTGGCAGCAAGGCTGGTATCCAACGCTTGGTCGGACAGCCTCCTTGTCCCTTCTCGTCAGAGTGGCCCCGGCCTGTTTTCGTTGTTTCACTGTCTCGCGAGACATGTAAACACGAGTAAGCGAGGTATCAAGGTCGCCTATGGCAGCCGCTCATCCTTTCTGAGGTGGTGTGGGATGTCCGGCAAGTTCGTCATGGGCGTTGCGTATTGATGCACATGAAGTCCCTGGACAGGCGATACTCTTTTCCAGATCAAGCTGGTGCGCAGGCAGCTTCTGCTGCAGCACTGCAAGAAGCAAGTGCCCAAGGAGCAACGTAGAATGTACTGATCAAGTTGAGCGATTGAGTCAGTGCACGACACGCCTACTTCGGACGGGTTTAGGAATGGAAAGGACAAAGGAAACCTCATAAGTTTCGCCCCCTTCATTCGGAAATGGGTCACCTCAGGTGCCTCAGGTTGCCGCTGTCGAGGCGCCAGCCGCTTGCGTGGAAAGTCATAGAGCAGAGGGCATGGAGGCATTCGTTGGGTGTTCGGCAGGAGGCACGCGCATCAACACCGTCTGCGCCTGGCGATCTGTCAGGCTTTCCGTGTGAGAATGCAGCTCCATCTCTGCCCAGAAGAAGCCAATGGGAGACCTCAGCGAACATTCAAGACTTCTGAACAGGTGTCCCACCTGTCTTGCTGGGTCAGGAAGAGAAATTGCTCCGACCTCAGCCATGCCTTCATGCTGCGGGCTATAGCGCAGCGGCTGCAACAATGTTGAGGCAAACTGAGCAAGCGGATTCCCAACTCAAGAAGGAAGATTCTCTTCCAAGCAGGCTTGAAGCAGCAGAACTGAAATGTCCAGCTCGAAGCACTCTTCACAGCGTAGAACTCGCAGCAGAGGACCATTCTGCCTCCAGTGTTGCCAGTGGATTTAAAGGAAAAGCGCCGCGTGACCTGGCAGCAACTCATGGAGCGTTGATCGGGGCACGTGTCGCTGCCTGTCTGAGCCGCTGGACAAGGTCTTCGTTGAAGAAGATCAAATGCTGTGTCGCTGCCCAAGTTGTTTCTGAATGTCGCTGAAACTCAGCAGTATGTACGCCTTAGGGACGTTAGCTCTCTTGTCGAGTCGGATGAACCTGCTGAGTTCCGGACAAGTCCCCTCTCTACCAAAGGAGACGGGGAAGGAAGGCCACAAGCATACACCCAAAGTCATGTGGAAGTCTTGGAGCCTGCTTGCAAACTTTCAGGGCATCCTCAGCGAAGACTCTGTGGCCAATGCTTCTACGTCTGATGGAAGCTGCTCCTCCCTGGCTGGCTGAGGGCCGTGGATGGCGTCGAGTCTGTTTGCGGTGTGTGCTCCGCAGTTTGCAGAGTTCTCCGCTGTTCCAGCTGAATTCGCCTTACAACCTAGCTCAGAGCAGTGGGTTGTCTGGACTTGTTTGAAGAGGAGCCGCCAGTCCCTGGATCTGCCCGCGACCTCCCAGCTATGCACACCGTATCACACCGTCATACATCCGCGATGAGTGGCAAGGGGACTTGCGGCTATTGTCTTCGCTGCATGGGTCTGACATACCGATGCTTAATTCAGCGTTATTTTGTAGTTGACACTGGAGCTGCAACAATGCCCACATGCTGAGAATTCTGTGACAAGAATGTTGAGTTCATGCTTCAGAGTGTCAACTACCGTATCAGACAGGATCTGCCTCGAAACACAATCTGAATCGCAGCTTTTCCTGCGGCTTTTCCTCTCCCGCCGCAACGCTGTACGGTACAGCTGGCATGATCCAACTGCTCAGCAGCTGTTGTCCTCTAGACTCCGTGTATGCGGCATGCAAAAAAAGTGCAACACAGCATTCCCTGAGTTACAGTACACGGCTGCTTCAAGCCCGATATATTTGTGCTGAGGTATGCCTGCTCGCCAAATCGCGCTATGTGCTTTGGAAGCACGGCGAAGCCGGCCCATGCGTCTGGACATTGAGAACCTTGAGGTCAAAACCGAAGCTTGAACTTGGAGTGTTGAAGGCAGGGTTTGTTGACGCCTTTTTGATCATCGGAGCAGCCTAAGTGTCCAGAGACTAAGTGTTGTGTAGCCACAGGTAGCTACAACACCGTCGGTGCACCCAGAGTTTCGCGAACTGCGGACGGGACATGGTCTGGTCTCGGCTTTGCTCCCATCGTCCAACTCTGAGGGTTCAGTGCCCCACAAGAACCGAGACACGGCCGAAGATTAGAGAAGCTTGAAGAGGCGTTGCTCGTGCGAACCCCAAGCCTCCGCCTTACAGTGCAAGCATGCGCTCGACACGCTGGTCCAAGCGTGGTGATCACATGCGATCTGTTTGTCTGTGATGCAGGCGATATGTCTGCAATTCGGTGCCTCTGGTTGGCGCATGTCCCTTCAATAGATGAGCCTAGATCGGTGTGCAATTTTTTCTGCGAAAGATTGGAGTGATGCATGTTCCAGCTCATTGAGCGCCAAGAGGGCGAGAGGCTTCATTGAGTGCCAAGACGGCGAGAGGCTTGTCGGCAGAACACCGCGCTCAAAACAGAACGGGTTCTGCTTCCACGACTCTTCAGATGCGATGTCCATGAGACAAGGGGAGCATGAGTCGTTTCTCAGTCCAGTAATATAAGTGCACAGGTGCTTCGAGCACACGAACAGGCGTGCCTGGCCCACTCCTCAGGGCACCAGCAGAAAAAGATAAAGTCTCAGAGTGATGTTTTGTCGGTTCATTAGTCGAAGCTTTCAGTGCTCTGACACTGCGTAAAGATGGCTCTTGATGGATTGAGATGCTTGGTCCTGGTCACCTTTGACAGTCGAAGGCTGCCCTTTTCTTCGTCGATGGACACTACCCAGAGGCACCAGCTTGCACTGGTGACTCACTGTCAGTCGGCAGTACCGAACATAAGATAGACCCAACTGTGCTATAATTCTTCTGTCAGGTGGAGGAGCTGGCTCCGTCGCTGCGAGCAGCTGGCCTTGAATGCCATGTCATCGGCAAAAGGCCAGGGCTCATCGCAGCTCTTCACAACTGTTCACAGGCGTTGATTTACTCCCGTCATGTGTGTGTGTGTGTGCACGTCTTGGCGCGTGTGTCTGCTTGAGGACAACCAGATATGCAGAATTTGTACAGCATGGCATTGTTCCAAGCATATTGTACCAGCGACCCATCTTGGAATAAGTGGCCACCTGTTTAGTTAGGTCTCGTCGCGGTCCTCCACAAGCCACTTCGACGCCGGGGTCCAAGCTTGATCCAGGATTGCCTATGTGCTGAATTTGCGTCGTGGCAAAGGCAAGTCAACGAAACGCCGTCGGAAGGATAGGCTAAAGGCCGGCGTCCAAAGTGAATCTTCCTTGTAAAGCTTGCTTCCTGGGCGATGTGCAGGATGGCGACTCGGAGCCCGTGCTGGTGTCCACGGTGCCAGAACTGCCGGACGAGCATGCCAGATGCACTTTCAGGCAGTTTGCCCACACTTGCTGTACCAACTCAGCATTCAGGTCCATGCAGTCTGCGGCCTTTGCTGATGAGGCATCCGAGGACTCTCCGAAGCAATCGTTTACGTGCTCAGAAAGAGTTGCCAAAATCTGTGTCGATCAGGATGAAGAGCATCCTGAAGCCAATTCTGGAGTTTCACTGGACAAGAGACAGCGAGGCGAAGAGAGAGAAGACAGTAAGGACGAGCAGGAGGAGAAGAGCGAGAAGAAGGAGGAGGAGGAGGACAATGAGCAGATTGAAGAAGGGGAAGCATCTGAAGAGAACGACAAAGCGGATGAGCAGGCAAAAGGACGGCAGAGTAGCGAAGAGGAAGAAGCTGGTGACAAGAAAGTTGTTGAGAATGAGTCGGGGGAGGGCGAGTCGGAGGAAGAGCAGGAAGAGCAATCAGAGGAGCAGGCAGAGGAGGAGCAGGAGGAGGAGGAGGAGGAGCAGGAGGAGCAAGAAGAGGAACCAGCTGGAGATCAAGTCGAGCCGGAGGAAGGGGAGATCGAAAGCGAGGAGGCAGAAGATGAAAGCAGGACTCAGCAGATCGATGGCAAGAAGGCAGCTCGGAGATCCCCCAGCCCTGACATTTCGGAGAACGTGTCCGCAATCAAGCTCGTGGAGAAGAAGGATGTGAAGCGGCGTGAGTCTTCGGGTAGTGCACCGCGGAAAAAAGAAAAGAAGCACAAGAAAAAGAAGCATTCGGGCAAGCGACCTCCTGACAGCTCCTCTGAGCGAGCAACTGAAAAGCGAGGCGATGCACCTCCAACTTTAGGAGATGGAAGCAGAGCGCGGCCCCGATCCCGAAGTTGCAGCCCGCGAAAGCCCCTGCCACGCCGGAAGGCTGGTAGGGACGGTAGGGATGGTAGGGAGAGAGAAAGAAGCACGGCAAGAGTCCAGGACGAAGCCCTGCCAAGGAGACGGGCGAGAAGTGCAGATAAACGATCGCTACGGCGTGATCCTTCGCCAATAAGGCGGACCAGGAGAGGTGATTCTGCACGCGCTCCACGTGCCAGTGAAGGCAAGCGGAGGGAACCACTCGAGAAAGATGACAAGAAGGACAAGGACAAGCGCGAGAAGCGCGACGCCAGAGACAGGAGAACCTCGCCAGAGCGTAGATCAACTCAGCGATGCAGGAGGTCTCGAAGCGGCAGGTCCAGAAATCAACGATCGCCAAAGCGCAGATCTATGAAGAGAAGATCTCGCAGCGGTAAGAGATCTCCGAGCAGGAAACAGCGCAGAAGATCCAGAAGTCAACTGTCTCGAGGCAAGAGGAGTCCCAGCACCAGCCGTGCCGTGCGGGATGATCTGCGTCGGGTGCCGGAGATTGCCAGAGCTGAGAACGAAGAGTCTCCCAGGAAGGACGGGAAGGAGGGTGAAGCTGCAGAGCAGGCAGAGCCAGTTGCCACACCGACAGCGACCGCGGTGGTCAACACGGCGGCGACAATGACTGCTACGTCCACCTCGACTGTACAGCCGAGTTCCAAACCGCCAGAGAGTGACTACTTGGAGCAGGCTGAGAAGGCTGTCCTGAAGTCAAAACCCCTGCGAACAATGCATGCATGCGCCGTCACAGAATTGTGTCTTGCAGAATAAGGTGTATCAACAGATCATCGTCAGCATCATCCGCCCCAAACCAGTAAGGATGTCATTGGCTTTCAAAAAGGAGGGTTTGGAAGGCCAAGTTGCAGCCGATTAAGCCCCATTAAAACCCATTGAGAATAAGAATACGGCTTATCACGTTACGCTTAGCCTGATTGAAGGCATCAAATTCTTTGAAGGCTGCTGTTTGGCCTCATAGTGGCTGAGTGGCTGGCTTGGTTTTCGGAAAGTCCTGAGCATGAGCGGCAGCAGCAGCAGCAGGAGTAGTAGTAGCAGGTGGTAGTGGTAGTGGTAGTGGTAGTGGTAGTGGTAGTGGTAGTGGTAGTGGTAGTCCTAGTGTAGTCGTAGTCGTAGTCGTAGTCGTAGTCGTAGTCGTAGTCGTGGTGGTGGTCGTGGTCGTGGTCGTGGTCGTAGTCGTAGTCGTAGTCGTAGCAGTAGTAGTAGTAGTAGTAGT